CCCAGCACTGCAGAGGCAGAGGCAGAGGCAGGTGAATCTCTGTGAGTTCTAGACCAGTCTGGTATCCATAGTGAGTTCCAGGCCAGCTGGGGCTACAGGAAGACCCTGTCTCAAAAAGACAAAAAAAAAAACAAAACAAAAACAAAAACAAACAACAACAACAACAACAAAAAAACCTGTAATATACAAGAAGAGCTTTTACCATTGTCTTTTCTTTGCAAAATCTAACAAAACAAGCTGTCACGTAATTTTGAAGCTTCCCATGAGGAATTCAGTGAATGCACTGATCCTCGGCCAGCTTGGAGCCCTCAACACCAAAATAGACAGCAGCTTGCCTCTGTGGAACCTATCTGCCAGAGGTAACCACCACACAGGGAACGGGAGTGTTCCCTTTCCTAAAAAATGGAACTGAGATGCTGAGTCTCCCCTAGGAGTTGAGATGTTTGTTAAGTGTCTTCCCTAGGAGCAGACATGCTAAGAGTCTCCCAGAGAAGGAGCTGAGTTGGTTTACCCTTTGCCCTTAGGAACACAGGCTGGGGAGGGGGCTCCCCATCTACAGTTGCTCTTGGAAATTCTCAAATTTTCTCTGAGACTGAAAGAGCACCTTCCAGCTTTCTTTGGGTTTGTGGCTCCCAGCCTGGCCTCCTGTGGTGGTCGGAACTTGGAGCCTTCAGGGAGTGTTCATTTTTCCCAGTACTTTGCACTGAACATAGTAGCCCATTTCTCATTAGAGTACCATAAACCAGCCATTACTGTTCATTAGTGTCAATGTGCTGGCAGGGTTGGCACAGAGGGGCACTACGTAAATGTGTAAGTTTGGGCTTTAATGGGTTTGCTATGCCAGTGCCAGGAGACCTGGGTTCTTGTTTTATTGCTACAGGTTCATGGGTCAACTGTACTCAGAAAGTCATTTAATGTCTCCATACCCTAGAACTGAGGCTGTTGAAAGAGACAGAATTGGAGGAGGGGAAGGGCAGCCAGGCTGCCAGGAGGAAGCATTTGACATAAGTGTTCTGGGTAAATTGTTTGCAGATATCACAGAAGGGCCCTAATCTCTATGGCTTCAGTAATTTGTTGCAATTTATTTCTTACTATATTTTTTTCTAGCTTTGTATTTTTCATTGTTTTCCTTAAAAAGTACTGCCAAATTGTAAGAGCTCTCTCAAAACCCTGTTTTCTTCCCCATTCTTAAAATGAGTGTGCACTCTAGTCCAGGAGGCTTGTTCTTTGCTAGTGAAATTGTTGTCTTTTCTTAATTTTTTTCTTTTGAGGAGATAGGAGGAAGAAGGGCTGGGGTGGAGGAACAGCACAGCCAGCTCCCATCCCTCAACGCTCACAGGGGGACAGGCACGGCAGGACAAGTAGCATCAAGAAGATAGACTGCACTGGTCCTGCTGTGTGGGGAAGAAAGCCTGGGGGTGGTGGTGGTCAAGACCTGGCTGGTGACAGGAGAAGTGGTGGGAAGCAGTTAGATATGTAGGTGGGGGAAGTAAGAATCTTGTAGGTAGAGATGACCAGGTTTGCTGCTGAATTTGATTAGCTCAGTGGAAAAAGTAGAGGAGAGGGTCAGGTAGACAGGGATCCACTTGCTCAGAGGGAGCCTGGGCGTGGCAGCTCAAGCCAGTAATCTTATCATCTGTGAAGAGGATCACCATGAGTTCAAGGCTGGGTTGGGGTATATAGTAAATTCCAGGCTAGCCTGGGCTAAAGAATGATATATCAAAATAAAAACAAAAATAAACAAAACAAAACACAAAATATCAAAACCCTAACAAAACCAAAAGAAGGGCAGTTTTGAGCATGTTGAGGCTGATGCCTGGGATGCTCAAAGAGGCAGTGCCAGTAGGTTCCTGGTACTCAGTTTGCAAGGGAAGCTGACACTTGACTTTAGAAATCATAACATACTGTGGATTTTTTCCCCAGACAGGGTGGGTGGGTTGTTCCTCCCTCCTTCCCTCCCTCCCCTTCTCTTCCACTCTTTTTGAGGCAGGGTCTCAAGTAGCCCAGGCTGGCCTTCAACTCACTATATGACTCTGAACTCCTGATCCTCTTGCCTTTACCTCCTAAGTGTTGAGATTAAAGATGTGTACCAGCAACCCTGGCTAGTGGATGTGTCTAAAAACGATGGGTCTGGATGAGCATATATGAGAAGGCAGAGAAAAAGAAGAGCCTGAGATTAAACCCTGGAGTACTCAAGCCCTTAAAGATCACACAGAGGAAGAGGACTAGGCTGAAGAGAGCAAGAGTAGCCAGGAGGGAAGCCAGGAGAGGGGAGTGCTACAGACAGGAAAGAACAGGGCTCCTTCTGGGAAGGCTGGAGGCCACTGGCATGCAGAACAGGATAATACAGAAAAGTGACCTTGGGGTTTGGCACAGAGCTCAGCAGGCACCTAGTTAGTTAAAAGGAATTTCAGCACATGGATCAAACAAGAAATCTGATGGGAGTGAGTTAATGAGGAACTGAACATAAACAGAACACAAACAGATCTGTAATCATTACAGACATTAAACTAGTACTCCCTCAACTGCCAGTGTTTTGCTTAGTTCTATCAGACCTTTAAGTCATGAATGAATCCTATCTTACATACATGGGTACAAAGAATACAAGAGGTTCGAAGGGTCTTCAACTTGTTCTCTGAGGCTGTTATAACCTCATCATGTTTGGATATGTTATAACCAAAATCAGACAAGGATTTTTTTTTTTTTGAGACATGGGTTCATGCAGCCAAGACTGGCTTCAAACTCACTATTGAGTTAAGAATGATCTTGAACCTCTGATTTTTCTACCTTTATTTCCCTAGTGCTGGGATTAGAGGCATATGCTACCATATTTGGTAATCTCAGCACTTGAGAGTTTGAGGCCAGTCTGAGTTGCCAGAACACAGGAGACCCTGCATTAAAAAAAAAAAAAAGGAAGGAAGGAAGGAGCACAAATTAAGAAATTACAAGATAGCATCTTTGTTTTGGAGATAGGGTCTCATTTTGCTCAGACTGGCCTCAAACTCACTGAGGACACCCTTGAAGTCCTAACCTGCGCTGGGCTCTTTCCCCTTACTTAGGCTCTCTCATTGGAGGACTTTTCTATGGGTGATTTAGAGGCCTGGCAGAATCTGGGTAACCTTGGCTCAGCATTCTCTGGGCTCTGCCAGGGGAGTCAGCCGATGGCTCTCGGCAGTGTGTGAAAGGCCTCTTTAGGAGAGCTGTGGCTCTCTAAATCTCCTAACAGTAAAGGTAAGCTTAATTTTGAGTGATGGCTTTGCAAGCCCTTTTTATTACAGATCTAAAGCCACTTTTTCCAAGAGGCTTTATCAGTAATAAAACTGACATTTTGATTGCATTAGTCTGTCTCTTGTATTCTTTCTCTCGAATGGTTCAAAATGTCAGAGGAGAAGAGGGACACTATTTATTGAGCATCCTCAAACCACAACCAGACTTAGAGAAATTGCATCTTATAATAATTAAGAATGAGGTATTAGCCCCTGGATAGAAATAAAATAATGGAGCAGAACAGGAAGTGTGGAAACAGACCACTGGGTACTCAGGAGAGATGGTGCGATCGATGCTTGATCTATCAGTGGAGAAAACATTTCCTGCAGCTATCATGGGACAATCCACGATGAGGGTGGAGCTGACCTGTCTGGTGATGAATCAGGTAGGGCTGTGGGCTGTGGGTTGCCTCTTTTCCTACTATCTTAGATTGGTTAACATTGTGCTAGGACACTTCTCATGAATTACATGCCTTGTTTTCCATTAGAGCACAAGTTCCTCGAGGGCAGGACTGGAGTATGATACCTTCCACCCTCAAGAGAGCCTGGTTCAGTTACAGAGACCAGACACACGAATGTCTGCAGGCCGCTCTCATTCTCACAGTCACTTCTATTATCTGGCATCAAACTTTGATTCTTTTCCTCATTCTTCAAGGCACTGAGATCCAAATTAATACCAAGTTTTGAGAGGTATTTTGATATTCTGAAAATTATTTAAACAGCTGTGTATTTGCTTAAGAGGAGTTCTTCCTAAGTCAGACGTCTGAAATCTGTCATTCTGAGGCGCATATGGGACAGAAATACATGTCAGAGATGAGCCATGGATGCCATTTTCTCATTATCTTCAAGACCTGTCCTTACGACCAGGAGAGAATGAAGCAACACAGCACTTCCCTCCCAAGTACTTTTTCCATCTCTCACCTCACTTCATCCTCACAACAAACTGGCAGAATGAACGAGGCAGGGATTAACAATGAGGAGATCAAGGTTCAGAGGCAGAACTTCAGCTTCACATAGCAGATCAGAAGATCTGGGCTCAGACGCCAGTGTTTTTTCCAACAGGCTGGCTGCTGCCACCCATCACCCTCTCAAGGTCTGATTCCCATCTACACTATTTGTAAGTTATTGCCCATCGCCCCAGGAGTCAAACTTCAGGATTCTGTCTCAAGTCCACAGTTTTGCACTTAAGTCATGTGAATCAATTTAATTTTGTCTTTATCTCCCTCATCCCACTCTCTATTTTGGAAGAGGTCAAGTGTTTCCTGACAAAACACAAAGCAGCAGCCTGCCCTCTTGGTAAACACAGTGACCAAACACAAAGCAGGTTTTAGTACGCATCCTTGGTCTCAGCTTGGATCCTGACAACCAGACCCTCTCCTTGCCTCTGTCCCTGGTAACTCCAGGTGCTGGTCCTGATGCTCACATGAACCCCCTTTTTTTGTTTGTTCTTTGAACAATTCCCTGGACCTTCCTACGAGTCTGATGACTGTCCTCATCTGTCTTAGCAATGTACTGGAGGATTCCTCACCCAGCTGACTCTCCCCAGAGGGTGCTCCACTGCCTTAGCCAGAGTGAAGCTTAGGTCACAGCAGGATGGCTGCCTTTTCTTTTCTTCAGGTACCTCACCACTGAAGAAAACCCAGAAAGCAGGCATGGAGCAATGTAGAAGCCAGGAGGCTTTTTTAGGTTTGTTACCTACATCCCAGATTGAGTGTGAAAGGTAGAGATACTCACCACCTGACCATTAGCCCATGCTCCATGAAGTTTTTCAGGTTAGGAAGGGTTTGCCTCAAGTCTGGAGTCCCCAGTCCATGCTGGTATCTCAGCTGCAACGGAAGAGAACAGAATTAAAAGGTTTGGCAGTTTCTAGGCAATGCTTTAGAAAGAAGAACTCCAAAAGAGGAAAAAGAGGAAACATTTAAGTGTATGATGCTCGTACCAACCACACTGGAGGGATGGTATTTAATGGGTGCTTCAACACTGTGACCTTGAGCCCTAAATTTGGAAACACTCAATGTGGTCTACTGTGGACCCTGGACATTTCCAAGACTCCTGTATCTAGTTTTTTATACTCCAAGACTTCAGTGGGGTTTTCTAACACCAAGGACACACATCATAAAAGGAGTATTCCATCAAAAAGACTTAGAAAAAGACAGTGCTTCTGGACTGTGTCACAGACATGTGGCTTCCCGAAGTCTGCCCACACTGCCGAATAATTCAGAAAAGTGCAGCCTCATCATTTCTTCTTCATATCTCTTTGCTAACCATGCTTTCCCTAACACTTTGGGCTGCCCCAATGTTTTGGGTTTCTTTACCTTTTTTTTTTTCTTAAATTTTTAAAATTGAATTTTTGTGTATTTCATACAGAACATCTCAATCAATCTTAATCATCTTTATACCCCCTTCCCCACTGGCAGCCTCCCATAGCCCCCCCACTGGAATTCATACATTCTATCATGTGTGTTAATGCCTGTTGTGTTAAGTTAGTGTCCCCAGATGTTCTTCAGTGCAAGTTCATCCACTGAGGTCTAGTCAGCCTATTTAGAGTCCCATGCTTTAGGAAGATCAGCTATTCTACACCCAGCAGTAATCACCCAATGTTTCTTCAGCTAGACTGGGGTCTGCTGTCCATTTCCCCAGTTCTATGCTGGGTTTTTGAGTTTGCATGGGTCCTGTGCATGTTGACACCATTGCTATAGGTTCATATGAGCAGGGTCCCCGGAGCTTATAGGACTCTATTTCTATATGGTCATGCACTTCCTCTCTGGCTCTTACAATCTTTCCACCCCCTCTTCCACAATTTTTCTTCAAAGCTCCCTTTCCTTCCCCATTATGTGACTGCTACTCCACCATGTATCTGACCTCCATGCCAGCTTTAAACTGGTATTGCTTTATGGCTTTTTTCCTTCTTTCCTCCAGCCTCCTCCTCACAGCAGCTGCCAAGATTTATAGCTTGCCTGCCCTGAGGAATTTTCTTCAAATTATAATAAAATTTTCCTAAGACTTCAAAAACAAAACAAAATACATTTTATTTTAAATTATGTATTTAGATGTGTTTCTCTGTGTGTGTGTTTGTATACATAAGTATGGTACCCATAGAGTCCCTCTGGAGCTGGGGTTACAGGTGGCTGGTGCTGGAAACCAAACTCTGGTGCTCTGCCAGAGCAGCATACTCTCTTAACTGCTGAGTTATCTCTATAGCCCCTAAATTTTTTTATTTGTGGGCCAGAGAACAACTTGTGGGAGATGGTTCTCTACTTCGACCATGTAGGTCCTGGGGATTGAACTCAGGTCCTCAGGCTTGGTGGCAACTGCCTGAGACATCTTGCAAACCTAGCATTTATTTTAGATACTGGTAGAGTTCCTGATCTTACTGGCCTCCTTTTTTTGTAAACAGGATAAAGACCAACCTGTATTCATCTGATTAAAGTGTCTGAAGAGTGGCTGGTGCAATCAACACTCAGTTAACAAACAGCAAATTGTGTGTGTGTGTGTAAGCCAGAACCAATCTTAGATGTCATTCCTCAGGAGTCATCCTTCTTGTTTTTGAGACCAGGTCTCTCATTAGCCTGGAACTTGCCAAGTAAGCTAGACTGGCTGGGCCAGTGAGCCCCAGAGATCTACCTGTTTCTGCCTCCACAGCACTGGAATTACAAGCATACCACTATCTATCCAGGGCTTAGCAACTCACTTCTGACAGGGACTGTACTCTACATTTCTCTTGAGTCTCCAACTCTCATCCTTGTCTGAATGAGAGCTAGTATGAAGCTCATGGATTTATTTCTGCTATAGATGACTTTCTAAAATTAAGTAATCTTCTTTGTAACCTTTTTAAGTAGCTTTCCCTGACCTCTTTCTTTGACCACCATTTGCTTCCTTAGCTGACCATAAAAGATATACATAGTCACACATCTACTATCTGTGCATCCAATACACAGCGGTGGACAACAAACCCTTGCCAAAAAAAAAAAAAGTACTTTTCCAAATAGCATAGTATATATGAACAAAGTTAATAAACTTTAGAAAGTTTACTGTATTTTGGCATGCACATGTGAAGAGGCCTCAGTTTTGAGGTTTTATCCTCAGCACCACAAAAAGGAAGAAAAAAAGAATTTGAGAGGCTAAGTAAAACTAATTTAGTTGATCTTTCTGAGTGACAATAAGGATTTTCCTCTCTGGTACTGAGATTCTTAAGAAGTACAATGCACAAGCAAGATTCCAGAATATTCTGAAAGAGTACACTTATAGAGTAAGGATGGTGTTAAAACTAAAAGGTATCTTTGGCTATTATGCAACCCAATCCTTTCCTCCTCCAGATGTGGGCACTGAAGCCTGGAAAGGGGCATAAATTCTCCAGAGCCACAGGGTCAACTTCACAGAAAGAGCTAGTCAGTGTCTGCTTTTCACCAACCATGCTGTTCCACATCTCCCTGAAGTCTGAGGAGAAAATTGGGAACACTATTTGAGAAGACAGAGGAAAATACTCTTTCCCTGCTTCAAACCGAGCTTGATGTCCTAAATCACCTCCTGAGAGCTGCTAACCTTGAATCATAAGATCAACTCCATATTAAATTACATCATTCCTAGTATTAATATAAAAGCATTTTCCCATACATTGATAGAAGCAAAATGGCTGATATCCCAATATGACATTCCTGAATTCATTGTTTCAATAAAAAGTGAAATTGTTTACACATGGCATGAAAATTTCACCTGTGATTCATACTAAAAATATTAAATATAAAAAGACTCCATACAGAATAACACCAGGCTGCGTCTCTGGGCTCCAGGTTCCACAGTGGAAGGTGGGTGTGGAATTCTTTGCAGAGACCGAAACGAAAATTTCTTTCCAAGTCTGAGTTCAACCAAAAAAGGAAAATGTTGGAATTTCAAGCCTTCACCAAAATCTTACCTGTTTAATTGTTGTATTGCAGTACTGTATTGAACTATCATAGATTCTTAGGATTTTATAGCACAGAGAGACCACGGAGATCATCTTTCCGCTTAAGAAGGCATGTGTCCGTGTCCTTGCCAAAGTCCCAGGGCTGCCAGGGACAAAGCTGATACTAGAGCCCTTAACAGCTTCAAATTCTTTCTATGATACCAGTCTGTTTCTGTTTCTTTTCCTTTTTTTTTTTTTTTTTTTTTTCCTTTTTGGACAGGGTCTCTTTGTACCTCCCGCGGGCCTGGAACCACTTTAGAAAACTGGGCTCGTCTGGCCTTTTGAGACAGGGTCTCTCTGTAGCTCCAGCTGGCCTGGAACTCATTATGAAGACTAGGCTGGCCTTGAACTCAGAGATCCACCTGACACTGTCTCCCAAGTGCTGGGGATAAAAGGCATGCACCACCAACTCCTGGCCTGATACCAATCTTTTTAAAAATATATTAAAAAAACTTTTTAAAAAAGGCTTTCAATGTAAAGAATTAAAAGAGAAACATTCATGTCATTGTGTTGGGCTTTTGGCTCAGATGGTTGAGTGCCTGCTTAGCATGCACAAAGCCTTGGGTTCCATCCCTAGCATGGCATATATACCAGGCATGGTGGCCCAGACCTGTAATCAAGCTCTCAGGAGATGGAGAAAGGAGGACCAGAAGTTCAAGGTCATCCTGGGCTACATAAAGAGTTTGAAGTCACCTTCGAGACACATGAGACTCTGTCTCAAAAAAAAGTTCATATTATACATGTTCATATATAAATTTAACTTTTACTAATAAACTCTAAATCCAGTTTAAGAAGTCTAAAATACTACAGTAGCAACTACTATCTACTTCTCTCCTCCCTTCAGCTTTCTAAACAATGCTATTAACATTTCCTATCTTCCCTACTTTAGACAGCATCTCCCACTTCTACTGTAAAGGCTGAGCTGAGCGAAATTCCCAGTCTTATCCCTGTTTCCATGTATCTACTTTTCATTAAATCTGCATCTCACTCTTTAGCCTTCCCTGCATACTTTCCTCCCCTTGTCCTTCCATATACTCAATATTACTTTTTTTTTTTAAATAAGGTCTTCTGTAGTTCAGGTTAGCCTGAAACTTGCTATGTAGCTGAAGTTGGCCTTGAATTCCTGATCCTCCTGCTTCTACTTCCCAAGTGCTGGGATTGTAGGCATGCACCACCACAGCTGATTTCAATATCATCTTTTATGTAAATGCTTAGTGTTCAACTCTTTATGCTGCTGTTCAGTGTTGAGCCAGATAATGTTTCTTGTTGCTTATTTGAAATTAATAGCTACCATTTTCTCCTGTTTGCTGAATTTTTTAAATATAACTACTAATAGATATTCTTTACACTATGACAAAACCTTAAAACTCTTTTCTATCTGATTTAATATCATTTCATCTATCAAGTCCATTTCTCCTAGACAGACATATTTTCCGAAGTAAGCTAAATCCCTTCACTTCTCTGAGTTTCACTTTTCTTATGTATAAAATGGGGCTGTTATCTGCTCGTAGCAAAGAACATCATGGAATGGCCCAAACCAGTATCTGGCATCAGGTAAGTGCTCAATATATAATCCTTAGTATCATTAATACACATGTGTATTCTTTCTGCTTGATCTCTACAGTGTCTAAACACTAGGTTGGGCCTAAAATTGGTGCTCAATAATAGTTTATTACTTAACTAATTAGAAGGGAATCAGCAGAGGAAGAAGAAATGAGTTAATTCAAATCAAAGGGCAAAGTCTTAAATGTACCACTTATGTCTTTTAAATGCTAATTTTGACTAGGCTTCTGACTGGAGAGACAGTGATAAAAACACACATGTTAATAGCTTCAAAGTGATTACACAGGGAAATGGGAAGACTGACATGATGTGGGTGGTCAG